GACTATGTCTTGGCAACGGGCCCAGGGGGCAAAGGAATACGTGCGGAAGATGCCGTTCAAGTCTACTCTCATTATTCTCCGATTCCCACGCAATTCACCCTGCCTGATTCACCTCGCTGTGGGTCGCACGTTAGACATCGTCGGTTGCGACGACTGAACTGGCGATGGGTGATGGCTAACGGGTTCTTCTGTGCTGTGCGTGTGTGCTGATGAGGAGAGGTGTGTTTATTTGGCTTGACTGGCGGTGTTTTACCGCAGGTTTTCATGTTTGCTCCTGTGACCGAATACGTCCATTTGGTGACTGGATTTGCGTGGGCAGCGTATGCAGTCAAGGCGGGTGGAGTTGGTGTATGTTGGTGCTGCAGCCTGTGGTTCGCCAGCCTCTGTGTGATGGATTCGCCAATGACCGATCAGGTCAGTGCATGTTGTGCATTTGCGACGGAAATGTGGACAGACTATGTTGGGAGCTGCTGAGCGGTTGTGATGCTGCTACTGTCCACCACGTTGTTGGAGACTGGAGATATGTCAGATGTGTAGTATGTGCTTCACTTGTCGATATTGCGGGGGATTCCACTCTAGCGCTAATGTATGTGGTCGGCGTAGACATTTGAGGCGGATCCGATGGGCATATATCGGAACTCCTGGCACTGGTACGTCGGTCCCGGCCAGGCACGATAGCAACGGTGATGGGTTGGAATCGAGTCTACGCTGCTGATGACGGAGGCGATGATGGTGAGGGCAGTGGCTGACGTGGCATCAGGAATGTTGTCGCCGGTGATGTGCGTTAAAGTGCTGGCAGTAGTCTTCGTCGCGGAGGTTGAGGTAGGGATGATGGAGGAGGTGGGGTTCGGCGACATCGACTGTGGCGTGGAATGGAATCACCTGTGGTGATGGCGGTGACTGGCTGAGAGGTCTGAGTTGAATCGGCAGTTGGCAACCTTCCGAGCTACGGTTCCTATAGCACCGTGATAGATTCAGACACGTCGGATTTTTAACAGTAATGAATAATGAGTTGAGTGCCAGGAGGTGGTCCCATACGGTCAACCAATGGATGTTGAGATTGGACTCGGTGACTGATAATACCACGAGCGGTCCGTCTTCGCTTGCCACACACACGACCAGGCCACGCACAACCGACCAAATACTCACAAAAATGGATTTCCACTGTTCGGATTTCACGTATGCTAATGTCGTGGAAGCCAAATGCAGAAGGAGACAAAAAGCTCGATACCCGTTAGCGTGAGGGCTGTCAATTTCTTGCTGGCGGTGGTGAGTAGAGGCGTGATTATGTGCTTTTATTGAAAGCGTTTTACTGTAGGTTTTCATTCATGTGCTTTTGACCAAATATATTTATAATTTGTGTTTCGCGTGTCGATACTGCAGGCAACTCCACCAACGTGGATGGGCATGTGGCCGAATGGTCCCGTTGCGCTGTGCGGATGTGTGTGGTCAGTGAGAACGGATGAGGCGGCTGAGATGGGTATATGTCGGGACTCCCGGCGCTGGGAGGCCGATTTCGGCACAATGAATTTGCAAGTGATCAATAAAGCCGCCTCATGAGGTAAAGGTGCGGTCGCAAATGGAATTATTTGGGATCGAGTCCAC